TTCATTTTCCCTCAGCATCTCCTCAGAAGTCAAGTGCCCCAGCCCCCTCACCATTTTTGTTGCCCTCTGCTGGTCTCTCTCCAATTTGTCCACATCTGTTCTATGGCAGATGGACCAAAACTGAACACAGTTCTCCAGATGTGGCCTCACCAGTACAGAATAGAGGGGAATAATTACTTCCCTTGACCTGCTGGCAATGTTCCTACTAATGCAGCCCAGAATGCCATTAGCCTTCTTGACAACAAGGGCACACTGTTGGCTCATATTCAACTTATTGTCCACTGTCACCCCCAAGCCCTTTTCTGCAGAGCTGCTGCCCAGCCAGTCAGCCCCCAGCCTGTACTGGTGCATGGGATTGTTCAGCCCTCAGTGCAGGACTTTGTCCTTGTTGAATCTCATGAGATTTCTTTTGGCCCAATCCTCCAATCTGTTTAAGTCACTCTGAATCCTAGCCCTACCCCCCCCCAGCATATCTACTACACCCCCCCAGCTTGGTGTCAACCATGAACTTGCTGAGGGTACAATCCATCTCACCGTCCAGATGGTTAATGAAGGTATTGAACAAAACCATCCCCAGGACTGACCCCAAGACCGACCTCTGGGAATCTTTCTCAATTCACAAAGGATTATGATTTCAGTGAAGCAGCAACCACCAACAGAAAGTGATTTTGTTAAGAAAAAAAATTATAGAATCTACTAATGTTGTTTTTTCATATTAATATCTAGAGAAGAGACCCATTGGCATTTGGCTCTTTGCTGGTATGCAGGATATTGTAACAGTCCTAGACTGACTGGAAGCAAGAAAAGTATTTCCTAATGTCACTACCTGGTACAAGCACAGATATTTGGCAGGAATTTCATCCTCAGCTTGACTCTGATTCTTCACTGTTTTATCATCTTCAAAATGCTACAGAAAGTTATCGAGATCATCTCCTTTCCAAATTGTGTACCAGACCTTGTTGTTGAATAAAGCTAAAGATAAAGGTACAGTCAGAACTAGATCCATCGCTGAAACCTCGCCACTCTGAGGAATTACAGGAAGGCCAAAAATAGCTCTAACGTTTCTGCTATGCTGGACTTGTTTACTACGGGACATTGGGAATGGAAAAGAAAAAATCTCCAGGCTACAATTTAAAACTGTTTCTCAGGCAAAACTGAAACACTGGAAGAGAAAGAGCTTATTGTGTTGCAGCATTGCAAGTGTTGCTTAAGTGTGCCAGCTATAGAGGGAGAAGAGGGAGTCTTCCCTCCTCTGTGGACTGTCACACTGGGTGAGCTCTGATATGACTGCACGCACAGTCCTGGCTACCTCCTAACACCCCTGACATGAATCACAGCCTGAAGAGACAAAGTCAAATTGAAACCCTGATTTCACATGGGGCAGCCACAGAAACAAAAATGTGCTATGCTCTTTGCCGAGATGGAGTAGCTGTCGCATAGGATGTGCTACCTGGGAGTTCCCCAATAGAAATGTTGTCAAATCTATTCCCCTACATTATGCCAAGGGCCCAATCCAGTCCTAAGAGAAGAGGAGAGCTTTTTCATTGACTTTCAATGGGCATTGCATCAGATCTCTAGCAATCCATTAGTTTAATGCAAACTTTTCCATCACATCCAGGAAGTTGTGAATAAGGTCTAAGAAAATACAGGTCTTAGGAAAAACACCAAGACAAATCATATAAATTCATCACCGTTCTTTTAAAATGCTGCCTGTGCACACCATTGAAAACTTCCAGTCAAAACTCCCTCTGTCACCTATGGATGAAATGCATAGCTCTATGAAAAAAATCATTGCTCTTCTTCAATGCCTTTAAACATTGCCTTTTGACTCTTTGCAGAGTACTTAAACCAATTAACTGTTTAGTATTCCAAATCTGTTTTAGTGAAATGAGCAGCCAACTTTCCACTGGGCCAAAATTCAAACAGAAACTTAATTCATACAAAAGGGACCTGCCTTACTTTTCTTAGAATTTGGATACACACCGTATTGTCACAACAGCCAAGGGGCCGGAGCCCTGCAATGAAAAGCAAATGTCCTTGTTGGCAGGGAGAAGAGAGCGTGTTTGCTGTGATACACTTTGCAGCGAAGTACATTGGAACCTGGCTTACAACATCCAAAAAGATTTCTTTTAGGGAAACACCCGGCATCCTGAGTTGTTTCTGAAACACCAAATAAATGTTAGCTGCCAAGGCCCAGTTAATGGCAGTCATACAATGGCCTGTAATAGTGCAGCAGGAAAACCCTAATCAAACAGCTCATACGATTTTTTTCTGCAGGCAGATTGGAATCTAGACCTTGTCTCTGATTCAGCATAAAGCTTTAGCCTAACCTAATCCAGATGCAAACAGCATCGCTCAGCTGTATTCAAATCCTGCATATTGTTTATATACTTACTAGGCTGAAACATCGAGTTGTTACATGATGGAGAATTATGTAAATGAAGTGAAGCTTAGCGGTATTTTATAGCTGCCGTCAATACCTTGCCAGCACCCTGAGCGTAAAATCTGAGTCTTTGGGACTGAGCATGTGGCACTCTTGCAGTCTTGGGATCCGCTTTTTGGATATGTTTTCTGGCATACCATATCTATATGGCCCACTGGGCGCCCCTACATAAGATGCTACAGCAACATAGTGTCGGCAGGCATGAACCGTGCACCGATGCTACTCCACAGTAGCATCGAAAACTACCCATGCAGTAGTGGGACTGCGCAGTAATGGTAGTTACTGCGCAGTCCAGTACACATGTAGACGTGCCCACTGTTGCCTACCCATTCCTAAAATGTTACAGAGATATAAAAGCAAATGAACAATCTCTACTTAGATCTGTCATTTTGCAATTTTTTTTTCACTTGTCTTGCTTGTCACCATGCCTGAGACCAGACCAGCTATAATATAGCAAGCCAGTGAAAGTGGTAAGAAGTCAAAGAAAATATGCCTTTTATTTGTTTTCTTCTTCATTCATTTGAACTAGCAGTGGGCAAACAGTGCTCTACTGGGTGCGTCTACATGTGCAATAATAGACTTTAGTTAATGTGCATTAAATCTAGTACGTTCATTGTGAGGTACTAAGAAAATGTGCATTAGCCTGGCTTAATATGTATTAACCAAAGAGCACACTTTTAACATAATGCTTAATGTTCATTAACCTATTTTAATGCGCATTCAGTAAAAAAGCATGTTTTTACATGACACTTCAATGCGCATTAAAATGGGCTCTTGTATACATAATGAAATTGGCCCTTTCTCACTGTTCAACAGAGTTACAGTTTGTACATGTGGGTTTTCCTGGCATTTTAAAATAAAACTCATCCCAACGTAGTTTAGTCTGGGTCACTGCAAATTAAAACGTTGCATCCATGGATTTGTTGCGTGCAAATAGAAAGGCACTCAAAGACATATAATGAGCCCCTTTGTCCACCAGATGGCACTGTAACTGTTGTGTAGCCCACCCCTTTGTCCACCGGTGTGGTTTGGATTAGCCAATTGGAGACAAAGAGGATGCCTGCAATTTGCTGGTATTTCTGTGTCATGTTGATTTTCAGACACTAGGTACAGCAGCTCACCACAGCATGAATCAATCTTCTGCTCACCTACCTGCACAGACATCTGTGCCTTCCCCCCCACCCCAAACCTGTAATTATATCTACATGGACAGAGCTTTTTGCTTATATGAACTGTATGTAGGGTTACCATATGCCAGTATCAAAAAAGAAGACACCTGTGAGGGGGAAAGGGGGAAGACAGGGAGAAGGGCATATGACTGTGGTGGAGGGGCGGTGATATGCTCATGCCCTGCCTCTGCCCCGCACTCCTAAGCCTCTGCCCCCATCCTCTCCTCACTCCCAGCCTATTGCCCTCTGCCTCCCAGCCCTGCTGGTGTCCCACACTCTGGACCCACATCCCTCTGCCCTCCAGCACTGCCGGTGCCTCTCACACCCAACCCACAGCACCAGCCCCCCCAACCCTGTTGCCCAAGCAGCTCCCACGTGTGTGCTTGCACGCACATGTTGGCACACACACACATCCAGAGTATCTCTTTACTGGAGAGCGGCTTACCGGGGCCTCATGGGGAGCACATGACCCCTGACAATCACTTTGCCTGCTGCTCCCTGTCCTAAGCAAACAGCCCGGGAAAGCAGAGGAAGAGCAGAAACCCAGACATTTGCTCTCAGTTTAAAAACCCACCCAGACACAAGGACAGGGTCCAAAAAAGGGGACATATCCAGGAAAACCCAGGTGGATGGTAACCCTACTCTAGGGCAGTGCAACAGGATTCTCACACGTTAATACAATTGCAAGTTCAGGACTTATCTATTGGTTTAGTTCCTACTGGCTAGCCCAGGAAGGGTGAGAAACGGAGCAGTTGCAGTTAAATTAATGAATTCTGTATATAAAGAACTGCTTCAAAAACAGCCAGAAAGCAAGAAAAATAAATTCAGCTTTAAAATTATAAAACCTATTTTTCACAATATTTCTTGGATATATTTAGAGACTTTGAAGAACTTCATGAAGTTTTTGATTAAAGAGGAACTAAAGGTCTCCAGTTGGATAACAACTGTTAGAAAGGAAGTGTTCTCTGAGGGAATATTGTCATAGATTTCATAGATTTTTAGGGTCAGAAAGGACCTCAGTACAGCATTGAGTGCAACCCCCTGCACTGGCAGGAAAGAGCGCTGGGGTTAGATGACCCCAGCCAGGTGTTTGTCCAGTTTCTTCTTAAAGACCTTCAAAGTAGGGGACAGCACCACCTCACTTGGAAGTCCTTAATATATATATATATATATATATATCAGTAGATATTTTAATGATTATAAATGTGTTTCGATTAGAAATTAGAAGACATTTCAATTGCCAAGCTAACCTGTAGTTTTTTACCAGAATTGCTGGTTCTACCATTTTTTCCCCATTTCAGGTGAATTTGTAAAACAAATGAATGGCTTAAGCCAGAGGACGCGAGGATCCAGCCTGGAGTGCATATTGACAGCTGCAGGACCAATCGTACAGACTTTACCATAGCAAAGCAGTGGTCACCTTTTTATTGAATAGGTAATGGGAAAGAGATAACAAATGGGGATGAGAACTTTCCTGAGCCTTCACCCCAAACTCCAACCTTCTTGAAATTCAACGAGGATTTCTTAAACTTGGCCCTTTTTGCATGCAGAAGCACTTGGTTCCTCTTCTGCGGGGGGAAAGCCAAGACATGTCTCATGGTATGTCCAGCCCTGCTGAACCCAGAAATCTCCCAAGCATCTGTGTTTGTCACACCAGGTAATCAGTCCTTAGCGGAAGGTCCTGCATTCTTCATATATAAAGATATACCCAAAGAACCTTATCTGCATTATTTCACACTTTTCCCTCCCTTCCCCACCCCACCTCCTATCTCTATTCATTGTCTTCCAAACTTCTACCTAGTTACATTTTCACAGCTTCTTTTTTACCATCTAAGAACAGCAGCAGATTCCCACTTCAAGAAAGTTGTTTGTGTCTGAAACCTTACCAAGAACTTTTTTCCAACTATTTAGTTGGTCTAATAAAAGATATCGCAACTACCCAAAGACCCTGCTTTGCCTGCCTGTGTCTTTGCCACAAGATTCCTGGTGCTCCTGAGTTGCTGAGCACTCATGCACTAAGTCTGTTATGATAAAAGATATAATCTACAGTTGTTCCCTGTGTTAGAAGATATGGGAATTAGGAGATGAATCTTCGGTTAGGGAGTAGAGCCCAACAAAGGGTCTGCAGAGGTTACCTACCTAGGGACAGTGCAGACATGCCCAGAGCAACTTTTCACTCTGCATCCTCAGAAGAAATCCCTGTATCAAGACTCCTCACTTCTAGAATATAGATAATAAAATTACCTCTCATCATTGGCATGCAAATGGATTCACTAACTCACGTCTGCCTCTGACTTCGAAGATGTAATATGCCAAGGACCTTTCCTATGGTTTTTCTTTCCCTTTGATATTTCTATTTTGCAGATTACATGGTAGCGTGGCACCTTATAGACTAACTTATTCAGAGAAGCATGAGCTTTTTTATGCTACAGCCTACTTCATCATATACTCCAAATATGAGTAGCATCTGATGAAATGGGCTGTAGCCTATGAAAACCCATGGTTCTCTGATTTAGTCTGTAAGGTGACATGCTGCCCTGCTTACTTCATTTATAGCTAGCCTGTGAGTCTTTATACTGCACTGCAGTTAGCACTGTAGACATACATTGCTACCTGCACTGCTGTTTAATTTGATATATACTTTTTTGAACTAAGAAGAATGAAGCCTGTGCCCGCTCACTGCTAAAGCCACAGAACTGATTCTGTAACAAATATTTATGAGAGGCCTGATCTGTGAAGATGCGGAGACCCCTCAGCTTTCACTGATTTCCACAGAACTTGAAGCTACTCCACACCTTATGGGATCAGGCCCAGCAGATCATGAGCTACATCCAGTCCTACTAAATATGCTCCAATATTACTTTTAGCAGCATCACACTATAAGAAATGAGTGAATGTTGTGTGTGTTTTAGTAGCTGTACTGTTTATATTACTAGCAATGATGTTGATACTGCAGCAAGTCATTACCACCAATGTAAAAAACAAAGTTTACGTTACCATCAATTATTTATTTGAGCACTGACATAAGCGGCACCGTTGTGTATATAAGTAGCAATATTTTTAAGTTACAAGAATTAGGTTTACAAATTACAGTGGAAATAATGGTGATATTAGAAATGGACCATTCGGATGTAGAGGTAGAAAGGGTAATAGTTTGAATTAAAGGCAGACCTGGTAGCATGCCACCTATTACTAAAGGTTGCCAGACATTTCCTATTATAAGGCCTTACTTTCAGTTGCTCACCAGTGCTAAACTTCAACAAATCAGAGTTATAGCTAATGTGTTGCATATCTTCCTCTGGCTGCAAGGTTTTGGAAGAATTCAGCCAAAATAACTCAGCTTCTCCTGGGCAGAAAGGTAGGGGAAAACAAACTGTTTCAATGTTAAACCCCACCTCCCCCACATTGCCCTCCAGTGACCTTTTATTTGGAAGCTTTAGCACCCCAAAGCTAGGGACAGGCATTCAAAAAGCCTGAGCCTGAATTGATTCAACCTTTGCAAGTTAGTCTAACATGCCTAGGTAGAGCTGGTTTACAACTTCCCAGACAGTCCTTCTGGACTGAGGAAATGTCAGCACATGCCTGCGGGGGCTCAGGCTAGAAGCCAGGGGGTGCTAGAGCAGCCCTTCCTCCCCTTCCACAGTGCTGAGCTGAGAGGGTGGGGCATGATCAGGCCCTGACAGGATGCTCTGATTAGGGAGGGGTGTAAACCCCCACCCTGCCTGCCCTGTCCCAGGCTTTTCCCTGCTCACTGCGCAAGGGGTGGGAGTGTTGCCAGATCCCAGCCGTGGACTAGCACTATGAGGCAAAGGGAGGTGTGCAGTGCATGCATCTGTTGATGATACTGAGTTTTTCAGTCTCCCTCTCCCTGCCTCTTCATACTGTCTGCAGACCTGACAGGCAAGGGAGCCACCAAGGAGCTGATAACACAGCATTTATCAGCCCACTGAGGGGTAGGGCCAGCCCTGTTTTCTGAAGCAGATAGCTCAGACCAGCCCAGTCCAGGGCTGCAAAGCATCTGGGATGCTGGCGATCTCTGGTTTAACTTAAACCAGTAAGGGGTCTGAGACAGACATTGCATAAATTGGTTTGACCCAAATCAGTTAAGTCTGATACTACATTGAACTAGGTTTATCTTAAAACAGTTTCAGCCACTTCGAAACTGGTTTATGTGTACTGAACTTATGTCCTGTTACAGGTTTAAACCAGTTTATGATCATTTAAACTGGTTTATGTGTAATGTCTGTCCCTAGCCCAATACTCCAGAGTAGGGGCCTGACATGTGACGTCAAAGTAGTCTTTGTTAATCCCATGCAAACCTGTCTAAATATGGCCAAGTTATACATCTTTGAAAGCTGAGTTTCCATATGCTCTGTAGATACTTCACACCTAAAATCTCCAAAGATTCTGTGTGTACAGGATATACTCAAGTCTCTTGTTGTGCCCAGTGCTGACTGCACACGCACCAACCAACACAGAGTGACTAAGTAGTCACCATCCCCATAGACCAATTTACCATGCTCCTGTCCAGGCCTACAGGGGTGAGGCTGGACTTTCCCCATTTTGACTCTGGAACTGAGAGCAGGGAGCTTGTCAGTTTTGAGCTCTCAGTGACCCACCCCCTGTCCTTCTGGCACTGAGATAATGAAACCATATAGTTCAATACAGAGGGACAAGGTACACTGTGGGGTTGGAGTAGGCAGTAGATTGGTAAAATGAGTGTGGAGCTGAACTGGAAGTAGAAGCTGGCAAAAAAGGAGACCAACTGAGTGGGCAAGGAGAGCAGACAACCATACCCTGGAGACCCCCTATCCTGGCTTGCTGGAGCCACCTGCCTGCTAGGGCTGAGAACCAGCAAACTCACTTCACATGAGAGACAGAGCACCCTGAGAGGGGTTGGAGCCATGTGGGCTGGGCTGGCCCTTCAGTTCTTCAGTTCTGGGATGGGTGCTGCAGTTGGCAGCAAGCGAAGAGGAGGGGAAGCAGGAGTAAAGTTTCAACATAACAGGTTAAATGAAACATATACAGGGAAAAAAACAAGCCCCCCCCCCCCATTTTCCTTGATCACAGCCTGGCCTCACTCCATCCCCCTGCACTGCCCAAAGAGCAAGGCTGAAGGCAGAATATGGTTAATTAACACTAAATTAACAGAAGCTGGCAGAGAGACCAGCAAGGGGCCAGGAAAAACTCGTAGAACCAGTAATTCTGGTAAATAACTGCAGGGCAGCTTGGGTTGGGAGGGAATACCTTCACAATGAAAAATAAATGAATTTAATATGATACCTCTCACTTTGGACCTGGGGAGTATTTTGGACCTAGCCTGTTTAGACCTAGCCTGTTTGGACCTGGAGAGTCCTGTGAGTGGGAGGGGCCATTTGCTCTGAAGGGCAAATGAAAACACTGCAGGGTGCACCCTTTAGGCACCCAAGCAGTTCTGAATTCTTTGATGGAACCAGGGGCAGATTATGGAGTAAGGCACTGCTGTCAGTAAGTGCACCCTTTGGGTATCCACAGGCAGGAAGGCACAGGGGGCACAGCTGGATGACTGTACAGGCAACTGCAGCTTGGCTTGGGGCTCCTGCAGGCAGCTACAGCTTGGAGGAGGAAGGTGTGTGTTTCAGGAGTGAGGGGATTACTGTTTGCCAGCATCTCCTGCTGTAATTAAGTACCAAAGAGATTAGTGGGGTGGATTGTTATGCAGTTGCCCTGCTGGAATTCACTAGGAATTGCCAACTGAGCTTAGTTCATTGTAAAAGCTATTATGTGCAAACATTGATGCAACGCTCTAAAATAAATCATTTTTAAATTTAAGAAACCTATTTAATTTAATGAGGATTAAAGCCCATTATGTGTACAAGCACCCATGCACATTAAAGCACATATGTAGATGTGCCCACTCACATGGAATGAATGCTAATGAAAAGGGTAGCTTTAGCCCTGGATTGGATATGCAGACACCTACGATTTCTGGCTGCCCAAAGGAAAGCCATGACTTTGGACTGAGTTCAGTTGCAAAATGTCATGAACAGAACCAAGGAGCTCAAATCTATGGGCTCTTATCTTAAAGCACAGGTGGAAGTAGAAATATAAGACAGCTATCGGGAAGAACAGCCTTACTGATAGAACACTGAAGCAGTAGGACAAACGGCCTAGGGGAGTTTGTGGAATTTCCTTTGTTGGAGGTTGTCAAAAAGTGGCTGGATAAGCACTGGATAAGGAGTAGCATTCAGGCAGGGAGCTAGACTGAGTTGCCCAAGTGACCTTTGAGGTCTCTTCTAACTGCAAATGAGGCAAAGGATCAGAGCTATACCACAAAAAGTGAGAGAAATAGCCAGAGGATATGATGAGGTAGGGGAAAAATGTGGAGATTGTGAATAAAATAAAAAATATTGAGTATTGTTAAGAGATCATGGACCAATGGCAGGAATTCTAACAGAAATAGTGACCAGGAATATGCTAACTCCTACTGATTTCCATAGGATTTCATTGCTAGAGGGCCAATATTTTTGCTGCTAGCCCTGAATTAAATACTGAAATACTGTGAATAGGATTAATGTGTGAAAACCAATGAAGAGTACAAAGAAGGGCAATCGGAATAAATGAGCTAAAACAGATTATTTGTAATCATGTAATATTTATACAGTTGTATGTAAAAAAAAAAAAAAAAAAAAAAAAAAAAAAAA